ATGATACACCATCCACACACATGCACACACATTGTTTACAGCAATGTGAGTCAGTGGACATTAAGGTTGGCCTCTGCGTGGCACTCGGGGTTTTCCAAAGTCCACAGCATCCTCAGTGTTGGAAAATTACTGGAGAGCAGCAAATGTTTTGCTTCAGAGTTGACAGCCAGGTGGAATTAACTCAGCCTTTCTGTGGAAAAGCCTGTTTTCACCATAAGATGTTGCAACATGCATGAAACTCCCTGACCATATTAGTAGTGGTTGTTTGCTCAATTTGCATTTGTCTTTAGGCCAGCTAAAAGTTGGCAAATTCTGCAAAAGATTTTGTTCACATACTGCACTAAAGCTGCTACAGTACTGTCTAGCAGACAGTGGTTTGACCCACTTGACCCTTGTTTGGTTTAACAATACTATAATTCTTCACAAAGCACAACATCATCCAGAGATCAGACAATTCATATGATTTCATAGGAACAATAAGCAGCTTTATAAGCACTGTCAAATTAACTTGTCACTGACTTTTATTGGCTTGAACAATCTTCAGTTAATTTACTGTGTAGAACCAAGGAAGAATTACAAGTTTCCCCATGTTGCAGTGTTTAGAGCATAAGAAACAGTGAATGTGGTCATATAAACTCAACTTTAACTGCAAAAACCCCCTGTGCTTACAGGACAGCTTTCCATCTTTCCAGCCCACTGTTTACACTCACACCAGTTTCCCTGGAGATCAGGGGCATCAAAATACAGGCATAATGACAAATACCAGCATCTGTGTGTGTTGGGTCAGTGAGGTTCAGTCTGGGCAGTAATGTGAGACCAAGATGAAACACTCAGTCATCAGCACATTCCAGTGGACCTCAGTTTTCTTCAGCTGGGAGAGAGAGAGAGAGGAAAGAGAGGAACAAAAGTAACAGTGAGGAAAACAAGAAGAGAGGCTGGAAAAAAATAATATTACAGAGAAGAAGAAAACCAAGCAGCAGTAAACATGTCACCCACTATAAATGATGTTTTGTAACAATCATAATCATACAGCAGTATCTCTACCTCTCATTAGAATGCAAGTCTGTATAATGTTTTAGCTTTACATAATGATATGGTTTATGGAGGCTTTGTACAAAGCCTCACCTCCCTCACGGTGGTGGTTGACTGAGGAATTTAGCCTACTTCCCACAAATATTGTCTGAATAACTGTGAACCAGACTAGAAGCAGAGAGCCATCTTAAAACATTTATTGTGATGTGGCTGTAGTACCCAGACAGAAAATTAAGATTCAGACCACTAATAAAAAAAAAAAACCCACTTGCAGCCTAACACTCAAGTCAGGTTGAAAAGAGCAGAATCAGCACTTGTAGACTAATGGTTTCAAAGTGCAAAGATTAGCTAATGAATAACATCTTTCCACAGCACAAGTTTGGGAGCAGTCCTCCATTCTTCCCGTTTAAAAGTATAGTATAAGGACATCCTGTGGTATTTTCAGCATCTCTGTCAACCTCATTGGACTCATTGACTTATTGTCAGTGAACGGTCTGTCCAGGTTGATCTGTTAGCAGATGGAGGTTAACATGACAGTTGCTGTCTTTTCTGACCTTTACTGTACAATAGTTGTTTTGTCAATGAGAAATGTGTAAGGCAGCGTTCGGACTGATTTTCAAAGGTGTGAGGGAAAAACGCAGCCCTTTTCATCCATTTCTATGGGGGATTGTTTTCACTGCAGCCGGCACCAGCACCCCAAGGGGCTCTGGCAAAACCGACGCAACCCTGTGGAATGTAAAAGTTGGATCTGCTTCAGCCTTTGCTGCACCAGAGGGTGACATCATCTGGCAAAGGCGCTGCCTTGATCAATCATGTACGGGGGGCAGTCGGAATGTGGACGCCCACAGGAAGAAGACTCCTTTGTTTACCATGTTAACATAAGCATTCACTGCTCTTCACTGTCAAAAAATTGGGCCACAGTTAAGAAGGCAGCACAACGACACGGCATGAGTTTTTGTTAGTTAATGGATGTTAAAGTTTTTCTATCTATCCATGCTGAGGCTGAGACACTAGTGGTAGAAACCAAATGGAAACTCGTGGGCTGGAAATGTCAATCAGCCCACTTGAATTGTATCATACAAGCCTACATGACACTACCCTGCAAGCCCCCACCCCACCCCAAATGCCAATTTAGCCCTTTGCCTTGAGGTTGTTTCAATGCATTCAGTCTGAATGCCTGCTAATGAGTAATTGATTACAGCTTTCAAGTAACTTTCCTAACACTGACTATTATAGAGGGAGCAGTGAATGAGAGAGTGGTTTTGGACACAGGCAACATTTTGCCTAAATAGCCACTTAAAGTGGTGGCAAGCTGAACTCGGTGCAGGCTCATCAGATTGAGCCACGTTGGTGTAATCATGAGACTAAAATCGACACACTGTGATGGCTCCATGGCCGTTATCTCGACATGAAGGATGAATATGGGAGATATGCAGAGAGGAGATATAACTTGTCCCATCTTAATCTAACATTGGTACACTGTACATGGTGGCAAGACACTTTATTTGTAAAAGTATCAAAAACTTTGCAGCACTTAACAAGGAAAAAAGTGAATACGTTTTGACGCCTGAATGTGCCACAGCATACATCATGTGTAATCCGTCTGAAAAATCATTCTAATTGTGCAGTGGTGTCTGAAATACTGTGAATAAATGCACTTTGGCACATTTTTAAAATAGTCCAGCGAGTATGCTATGTGCAGCGACAGACTCAACACCATTTTTGGTCATTTTGGTGTCACAGACAGAGAATGTGGCTTCAGAGAGCTGCACTTACAACAAACAGGATGTATGGTTTTGTTCTACAGTGTCTGGAATATTTTGGGTGAATTAGTGTCCCAGTGTGTAAGACTGGTTCTTTAGTAATATTTTAACCATTAAATTTAAATAACACCAAAGATTCAAGCAAAACTGAAGCAGGATTAACATGGAGAAGGAGCTACACTTGGTGAAGGTGATGAAGTGTGAGGCAGAGTCACATGCTGCTGTTTTTCTTGCTTTTTGCTTTGTTCAGCGCTCTCTCTCCTTCAGCATGTCTGTTTGAAGACTTGTTGCCTGTCTGCCTCATTTTCTCCATTCTTTTCTCCATATTTCTGATTCAGCCCACCCCTTTTAATATACCACATCCTCCTCTTCTCTGCATGCGCAGGGGAAAAAATGCAGCCTCCACAGTAATTATCTTGTTGGAACTGCTCATAGGGGCTGTATTAAATTCATTACCAACCACGAAAACACATTCTGAATACTCTTTGAGCGCAGCACGTTTTCATACATAGGTTATTAATGTGACACCTCGATTGTCAGTTACAGAACTGATGCGTAGAGCTGGAAGGGAATAATGTGATAGACTTGAATTCACATTCAGCAGCGACATTGTTTCCTACCTCTTTGTGGACTCAGAGGTCAAAAGGTTAGAGCTGAACTTTGACCAAAGTTGGCCAGTGGTGAACCCAGCATGGCAGTGGAAAGAAGTATTTTGGGGATGTTCCTGGAAATTGGGCTTCTCTTCATCACTAAAGAAGGCGGCTTAGGACAAAAGAAGAATGAGGAAAATATCCTGCAAAGTGAGACCACTTATTTAGTAATACCTTCCATGACAGGCTAGCTGAGAATAACGGGTAACACCTATTGGCAGTGATGTACATCAAAACGCCCACACCCATTACTTTCTATGCAAGCCTGTCGGTGAACTGGCATGCATTGTTTCTTGTTAACGCCACAGCAGGATATGTTATTGTTCTAATTTCTCAGCACCAATACGTGTCAGAAACAGTTTTCTCCGCATTGAAACATCACTGGCTACTCTACCATTGTCTTTTTGCCTATTGTGTCAAAACTCATTTTTAAAAGTGAGACATTACCCAGAGCTGTATGACTCAAAGGCCAGGTAGTATAAAAAACATCTGTTCCTCAGATGAGAGATCAAGTAAAGTAAGACACACACATATATACAGGCCAATCTGGGTCAACAGTCAGTTCATTGTGGAAGTATTTGGAGCTACTGTAGCTAACCTTTCCAGGTACCAGAGTTTTATACAGGTAAAGTTTTAAGGGCAGAGACAACAACAACAAGCTGGTGTGAAAGAACTAGCAGCAACAAATGCCGACCTCTGTCTCACCTCAGGTTGCCTTAAAAAAGTGACACATGAACACACCGCACAGATGACAGCCAACAGCCGACTAGCACGTACGTTTTTCCACCTGCGTGACAGAAATAACTCCCCCCTATCAGCAGGTGCCGGTTTTTGTATTCACCATTCAGAAAGGAAAGGAGGAAGAGCTAAACAGTGCAAGTATAAGCTGTAAACATAAGAGCTCTCATTCAAGACAGCTGCTGTTTCTAGCCTCTTCTATTCGAGAATATATCTGTTATGAAGTTGTTCTCTACCCTGGGTTTTTTGGTTGTGGAAGAATAAAGGAGGTTGTGGAGACAAAAAACAAGGAGAAAATACACTAAATGCAGGAAATCAGGGATTCTACAGTGACAGGTTGAAGGGGCTTTCCTGACCCATTCTCTTCTTGTGCATTGATTCGCTAAGTTCAACACCTAATCAGAATGGTCTTTCTCTCACCAACAAGGCCCGACTGGCTGATGGGGATTCAACATGTCAAATCAGCCGAAAAGCCGCTGACAGGGTTCAACTAGTGACAATGGTGTAGGACACACTGGGAGGACAAGCCCTGACGGACGCTCACTCACAGCCCGATGGTGGCTGACAGCCTACTGTCAGCTTGGTGTATCTCTGCCCTGATACTATCTTAACTATCACTGTAACCAAAATGTGTGTATGGGAAGTATACAGCCCTAACTTTGAATGGTATACAGTTACGTATTATCAAATACCCAAACATTCAGTGTTGGACCTTTTAAAAGAGTAAGTAGTCAGGTGAGACTGGTCAGGTGGGTTGTGTATCAGACAAATCCAAGCAGAAGTCATGCACAGAAACACTCTTGTAGAAGCTTGGAAGTCAACCTTTATTGATTAAAAAAAACATGTCGACCAACAAAGAAAATCATATACGTCTTCATATTTGCTTCAGTACTGCTGTTTATACTGGTTAACATAATGCATCTTAAATCATTTCTGTTCGGTATAACAACTCTAATGGTGTTAACAACTGCGGGAGTTTCCTTTCTAGCACTGATCTTGTATCTATACTGCATTTATACCTAAATTCTTACATTGGTTTTAATAGAGTTGAGCAGAATTAGGAAGGATGCACTGCTGAGACCAAGGAAGCGTTGTACCGTATCTCTAGCTAAAGATCCAAGTAGAATAAGAAATACATCCATTCCTCCTGTTTACTTGGTGTGATTAATTAACTTCACCTGCAGTGATGAGATCTGCTTTGGTTTAAAGTCCCAGAGTTTAGCTCAGTAACATGAGTGGTGCAAAAGGATGTCAAACAAAGATGCAGTTTGATGGTGCAGCATATTAGATGTTGCTGGGTTTGGGATCTGATAAACAGTTTACTTTTTAAGGCACAGCCAAGTTCTTTATGGTCTACCATAGGTCAGACATCTGTTGTTTTATGTGTTACTTTCAATAAATTACATGGAAAAGCCTGTCAGCTCCCTACATAGGTCAGTGTTACTGTGGAAATGCTACCAAATGGCTGGAATGAACTACAAATTGTGTAAAAGTGTACTAATGAAATAATATCTTCTGTCAGTGAAATTTCTAAGGAAATGATTGTAAACTTGTAAAATAAAATAACATTTCCCCTCCTTGGTAACGGTCCTTTTTATACAGAAGAGGATAAGGGATCTGAATTCTGACTTTAATCTCAGAGTCAGAAAAAAGTCAGAACTCAAATTTTGTACAGTGGCCCTAATCCTCTTCCATATTTTTAGGATCAGAACCTAAAAGGGTTACGAAAATGTGGTCATATTTAATGCTGGAAAATTGTTAGATATTGTATGATATTATCTAGTCCATATCTCACTTTCATTATGGTTATAATAATAATTTGGCAATTGTTAGAGAAAGCACTATTATTAAATGTTCATTCAACTCAAGCTGAACTATAGGTGACAAATTAAAAGGCATTTTCAGTGAAAATGTAAATTATACACATTTGTGATTTGTGTATGTACTGTATGTTTCCTGTAGCTCAGCAGCGGAGCAGCTATTGAGGCACTGTGACTGATTACAAATGCATGTAGTAACACAACGGTACAAGACATAACTGAATGACGCACATTAAAACAAAAGTATAAAACAAAAAATCAAAGAAGAAAATGCCAAAAGGCACTGGATATGGAAGGAATAGCAATACTTTCAACCTCTTTTCTACACAGTGAAGTCAAAATCCCACGCTTCTGATTTTCCCGATTTTTTTTCTTTTACAAATTGGAATGATATTACTAGCGGTGTCATTTCATCTGCTAGAAAAGACCTAGAAGGCATAATGCACACCAGTTTTCAGTGTTTTTATCCAATTCACACAGCATAAAATGTAACCCCACTTTCAGTTTCAACAAATAATTTCAGTGTAGCTGAGGAGTTGAGAAAGAAAGATAAGCCTTGCATGACTTCTAACTGGCTAAATTCTGCACACGGTGTCCGTCTTGGTGGTTGGACACCTTGTCGATATTCAAGTACTCTCCTCTATTTCTCGCGGGGAGTAAAATAAATTAGATGCTCTTTGAACTGCCCTGCAGTTACAATGTGACCGGTGATGATAAATCTGAAGACATAAAACACACACAACGGTATCAAAGTACAGTATCACAACTGAGTATAAAAATGTGAGGAGAGACATTGACCTGATTTCTGGTTGCTGGATTTCATGTGTTTCAATGTCCCTATGCTAACAAAAACAAATACATACTGTAGATGCCCAGCAGTCTATGTGCGAAGATACAAAAAAAAAAAAACAACTAACAAAAATACATATTGCTGTAATCTAAATTCAACTACATGAAAAGGTGGTTAAGGACAAAATCCAAAGCCCAACATACTGCAGCATTCAAAAACACATCTCAAATATATATTGTAAAAACATACCTTTCGTATAATATTTGTACACTTCCCTGTCCTTGAATGGTACAAAGACCCCACCACAAATTATTGAAGGGCTGGTATTTGTTGGGTAGGTGTGTTGTTGGCTAAAAGAAACATCACAATAAAACTGAATGGGGAAAAAATTCCCTATTGTATTTAGAACAAATGTCCAAAGCGAAATTGTGATATTGGTTTTAAATTCAGTTTCCAACTCCTCACAGCAATGGAGAAATACACCAGTTATGCTCCAAATTTAATGTGGTTATGCAGATTTCCCTGTACATCCTACGTTTCACCTTAACTTTCAATAACAATGGCATAACTCAGTAGTCTATAAAGACAACAAAGAATGTTCGTCCATTGCAGTGTTTTTCTGTGGACCTCTGTCCCTACATGCAATGCTGTCCAGCAACAATCGTCCCTGATCTCACAAATGCCAACACGAAGTAAAACAATTCCTCAAATCACACCATTCACTCTGTATGGGACAGACCATCAAGTCAACCTGCTAGTCAGTTTTAAAGTCCACTCTTAACTTTGGCACATGAACAGTTAGAGAACATTGAGGCTTGTAAAATTTCAGGTTTCATAACAAGTTTCTCATGAATTCCAACAGTTTTTCCTCCCAAATTGATCATGCTAGTTGGTAGCATGTGTGAAATGACTTACTGTAAATTGCCAGCTCACAGTTTGACTTGACACTCATTCACATACAAGAAAGGAATCGAAATACTGCTGATCTTTGGTTTATAGCAGGAGCATCTTTGGCAGCGAGGACCACAGCCTTCAAACTGAAAGACATGGTCAGCAGAACAGCGAGTCTGTGAAATTAAAGCGGGTGCATTGGGGAGTTGGAGGGGTGTGTCTATGTGATTCAGGGTCGGAGGCTGGGCGGGGGACGTGATGGCGGTGGACAGGGAAGCCCTGGGGGCATGCGGGATGGTGGTGGACCTGGAGGTACCTGGCCTGATGGGCCTGATGGGGGTGATCTGGCTGGAGGGCTGGTGGAGGTGGGAGATGTGGAGGAGGTGCGAGTCATCGGGCAGAGTCCTGTGGCGGCGGTGAGGGCGTGTGGATAGGGGTGCGAGGTGGGGCCTTGGCTGCTGCTGACTCATCCTTCACTCTGGTGAAGTTGATGCATCGACCCTAAAGTGAAGGAAAGAGATCTAAGATTATAAAAAAATCTTTGGGGTCAAATCTGCTCAGTCCAACACTTTGAGCCAGACTGAGATGTTTTGACAGCTACTGGAGAGGTTTCAAGACAAACCCAAAATAAAAAAAAAATGCATAAAAGTTTTTATGCTTGGCTGAAGCAGAAACATTGGCGCTAAAAATTGTTTCAGTAAAAGCAAAATAAGACAAAGTAACAATGATCGTGACGTACACAAAGCATGTGAGTCCTCACTCAAGCTTCTGCTCAACTGAAAAGATTAAAATCATGGCAGACTAAAACATCAGATCTGTTCATGTTCAAAGAGGAGACTCATTTTTCCCAAAATAATACATGAAACAAACATAAATGTCCTGTTTTCAGTATGTCTTCTATGTGCTGCTCCACCTTTTGAGGCTTGACCGGAGATCTTTTAATACTGTTCCCTCTTCTTCTGCAGTGGTTTAACGGTACTGTTAGTGCCAACAACTTGTATCTCAATGAACCAAATCCTAGTACTAGATAACAGTAGTGGGTGGAAGTGAGCATTAGTTTGCATTATCTTCTGATAAGTTTTTGGAAACTTGGTTAAAATCATTGTTAGATTTGGATGGAAACATGACTTTAAAAGGCAGAGCAGCCAGAATAATATGAGCTAGAATGTGCACCTAGTCTACATAATCCTAACTGTTGGATTGTAGCAATGTAAAAATAGGTTAAATTTTGAAAAAAAAATCTCATGTAGTCTAAAAATGCACACACATACACAGACCCACATATGGTCACTTGCTGGTACAAACACACAGGTGTCTACTCTAAAGTATGTCTTGGCTAAGTGGGCAGTGACATCAGTCGACCACAGGGTCACGGCACAGTCACTGCACTCCGTACAGTATGTTGGTGTGTCTGTGACTTTCTTCCTTCACCTCTGTGTGTGTGTGTGTGTGTGTGTGTGAGAGACTATGGTCAGCTGGTGTTTGAGATTAATCCTCTTTTTGATGCTCCTTCTCCAAATTATCCCAGATAGTCTAACGTAGCCAATGTAGAAATGTGGCCCTCTCACCCTGAGCTACTTGTAAAATATTGCACTAACAGCACCAACATCATCAAAGTTCACAAAGGTTGCTGTTACCATAGCATGTGGTTGACAGCCAGAGTAAAGTCAGTAATGTTAAGCTGCTAAAACTAGTATCCATGACTAAACCCACAGGACCATGGTTTTACAGAGTGGAAAGTGGGAACTGATGTCACACATACTGAGAAGCTGTATGAGCAGAAGACATTTCATTCCATAAAAAAACCTGATGCAGAGCTTTTTGAACCGGTGTTTTTCCACTGGTTTTAAAAGGTTTGAATTTATTGAAATGTCTATAGAGAGAAGACCTGAATGAAACAAAGAAAAACACTTAACAAAAAGAAACAGGACCATCTTCTGGACCTTGAAAAAGTGAAGTAAATGTAAAAGTAAAACAGACAGCAAAAACAGAACCAGAAAAAAAATGATAAGAAATCTAGCTGAATGTGGCAATTGTCCAATATCCCACTCTAAACTATTGGCTGTCTACTCCAGCCAACCACTCTTATCCTATTGCATTTAGCTGAACATCTCTACATCTACCGCAGACTCCTCTCTAATACAGATGTTGAGCTTTAATTCTCCTCTCAAGGCAGCTGCAGAATAAAGCTGTCATAGAAATGAGATGTAAAACTCACAGTGGAAGAGCAGTTGAAATAAGGTGCACGTACTGTAAAATAGTCTCACAGAGAAAATATCAATATAAACGCTCACAATGGCGTTCATCCTGACTGGTAAATTAGCTGCTGAGAGCAAACACAAAAAATGGATAAACAGAGGAGCAAAGGGGCGAAAATTTAACACTGGTCACTGGTCTGTTGCCAGTTATCCAGTCTGGCATTTCTAGACCTTGATGGAGAAAAAAAAGATCTTCTCATCTTCTTCAAAACTGTTTTATCGCCTCATGGAGCTACCCATGGTGAGGAGGTGTGCAGACAGTGCCTTCATTTGTGTATTCTCTGAACTAGTGCTGCACTTTGGCTCCATCCCAGAAAATATTTGAGAAACAAATGTTTTTTATTGAAAGCGTTATGTAAAGTCTCATTTAATTCTTCAGAACAGCCTCTAGTACCAGCAGTGAGAAGTTGCAGGGGAATGTTTTCTGCTGGGAAGGTTTACATATTCATTCTTATCAAGAAAAGAATGAATGGAAAAGATGTGAAAATAATCTAAGACTGAGCTCTTCTTGCTGACCTCCTCCAAGGTCTTACCAAAGTCTTAAAACTGTCTTGGCCTAAGCAAAATGTGTGTGAGACATGGTCGGTTGGTGCAGACAGCCCTGGCAGTTGTCTGCCTTAAGCTTGATTTATGGTTCTGTGTTAAATCTACACCACACGTTGCGGTGACACAGACCAACAACAGCTGTGATTGGTTGCATTGCATTTTTGCGTTCATGTCTCCAAGTGGCCAGACAAGCACAGAAAATCTCCCCTCGTTCTGCCTTCTGTCTTAAATCTAGATTTCTCCATTATAGCAATAACTCTTGTATATCAATGGTGAATTATGTGGTTATATACATACATACAGAATGCACACACATACGCACACAAGCATAATTTACAAAAAAACGAACAAATAAACATGTGCACACACAGTACAAACATTATATATGAACCAAACCATGGAGCTGAGCTTTATAATGATACTCTTGATCTCAATTTGAATCTTGTGAAAGTTTATAATTTTGGATTTGAGCCGTAGATAATAAGAGAAATGTGAGTTGGGAAGGTCACATTTATGCTAGAGCTAACTGGATGATGCAAATGGATTATTTCTAAACACATCTTGAATGGTGAGCAGTCCCCTCCCTCTCCAGGCGTGGTGAACTTTGTCTGGCCAAAGTTAAAACAGACTGGAGTATACACAAAGGGTTCAGGCTGCCCAGGCACGTTCCTAATCTGATTCAGGCTTCCTTATTCCAAAAGTTAAAGTTTGCCAGAGCACTGGGTTTGTTCATCTTCCAGAACATAATCACCTTTAGGGAGGAGTTTCTGACTGAACTGGCATCCATCTTTAACCACAAGGGGGCATTGGAGGCTGGACTTGTATGGATTGATATTCTAATACATCACTGTGAACTTTCTAAAACAGATAATGAGGCTAAAAAATCATGACTACACTGTACAGGGTTGTAGCCAAGCCCGTCCCAAGAGTGACATTCAGCTGTTAGTGTAGCAGTCAGCACGGGGGGGAAAGACGCACCATGGCAGCAGAATGACCAATCAAGAATTCGTCTGAACTCAGCAAATTTGACCTTGTGTATTCCTATTAATTTGGAAGCCTAGCAGCTGTGGAGTGTGAGAGTTTGCTCCAAAAGGTCTGTTCAGGATGTGACTGTGGCAGGAAATCTAACTCCTAATATCTTTTCAGGTAACACTTAGAGGTGACACACGCTTGTTTCTACTCTTTCCTCTTCGAGTTAAAACATTGCACTAACTGGTAATGAGACATTCTGCAGGTGGGGGAGTTGTTTCTGCCAAGTCGCAAATGACTTGAGGAAGTGACTTCATTTAAGTGGAAAAGGAGGCCATTTTTTCCCTTAAAATAAACATTGCATCATACAGAGTTTATGCATGTAGCCACTGCTAAAAGCTTTTGTGTAAAAGAAATTTGTTGATAAAAGAAAGCTGACAAAATCTTCCACTTGGCCTTGGTAGAAATGTAATTGTGAGCTAATGGTAATTTTTTGTCACCACTGGGAAAGCTGAAGGCTTATCTGGCAGCAGACCCTGTCTCTAAACCTGTTTGTGGTGCCGGGAAAATACTAAAATGTGGAATTCCCGTTAAAAAAACATCATTGGAAAATTCTATGCTAATAAGGCATAGGGCTGTGCATGCTTACGACAGGCCCTGATCAGCAGGGGCGGTGGCTGTGGAGAGGAAGAAGAATAGAAAAGGTATGGGAAAAATGGACCCAATCATAGCTGTGTATTTGATTATCATTTGAATTTATCATTTAAAACACTAAAAAAATCTGAGTGACTGATCTCAGGCCATTATCATTGGTAATTTTCACATTATTCTTCTTATGTGGGCCAAAATATAAAAAAAATACATTTAATCTAAATTACCCTGTGAATACCAAAGACATAAAAAGTATATTGGGAAAACGTGAGCACAGAGAAATTAAGACTGAAAAGAAAGTAATGCAGGTGTGGGCCAGGTACAAAACTCTACAGGAGAAGTGGACAAGAATGGGAATGGCTAAAAGCATTTGATGAAATGAAATATTTCCCGAGCTACTCACATGATCCCCGGGCTGGGGTCTCATCAGGGAGACCTGGTCATACCCACGGCGAAACAGAGCCCAGATAGCATCCAGTTTACCCTGAAATGGAGAGGAAAGATTTAACAGCTGGCTACATCTGGACACCAAACTCTTCTACACCTTAGTCCATAACTTCATAGAAGTCTATTAATATTGATTCTACTGTATCAGGGAACATTTGGTCTGAGGTTCTTAGTCAGGGAAGTGTCTTGTGGGTTTTAATCCCAAACACATACTACAGCAGCCGGGTCTGCTGAGTAGTTCCTTCCTCTTTGGTTAGAGCTGTTTAGTCACTCATTAGTCACTACAGTTACACACATGAAGACTTCTGGTCATATTTTGGTCCAATTCTCATTCATGTATGAATGTGTGGACCTGTCATTTTCTGTTACTCTGTTGCCATGAACACAGTAGCTAACAAAGTGTTCCTTTTCACAAATAAGATGATCTGCCAAAGAAAACCAAGGGTGAAAGGTTTAGCAACTGAACAGGAGCTTACTTCTGCACAGAACAGAAAGGATGACCCCAACTGTAACATTAATAAAGTCAGTATTGAACATGATTCTGAAAGTGATTTAACTTTTGTATTTCTGTACAGATTATGATAATATGCTCTTGTCTTGGAACTAAAAAAAAAAAATCTGGTTGATTAAATGGAATGAGATGGGAATTCTCCTCTCTTACATAGACTGCAACGTGCCACTGTCGCAATGCATTTGGTTGGACCGAAAAATGCTAATTCCTCTGCCTCAATGATGTATTTGAGGCAAAGGAAGTAAATATCATACAGGGCTTTTCGAGCAACAGAGAACTGGTTTTGTCCAGGCACCACAGAACCAAACACTATGAAGAGAACCAACACATTTCAACCTCAGCACCATTACATCTCACTGGAAAAGACGCAGGTAGAGGCATGCACCTTAAAGTTGGCTTGTAGCCCGCCATTAAAAGTCAAAGAAGAACAAGATGAAGAACCAGACAAGATGTCTATATTGAAAGTAAAAGCAGAATTTCTTCAGATGATCAGGCGACCTATTTCTTCTCCATTTTGCTGATGTTGCTATTGCTTCTTCTCAGTTTGTTTGGTGACTGGCAAACCAACTTTGAGGTACATTACCACCACCTACCGGACTGGAGTGTGTCGATTTTGCTTTTCCTTTGCCTTCGTTGGTTCAGCACATGCCTATTCATGATGCCAGTATTGTAACAATACCAGTTCAAACCCATTAGGCATTTTGTTCTCACTGGGAACTTGAATTCTAGGTTCTGAACCAACCAATTCTTGGTCAAAATGCTCAGAAATTTGTTTGCAAACAAAAACTGAACCATATTTCTGATGGTTCAAAAACCCTAAAGCCCTATTAAACAAATTTAACATCAGAGATTTAAAAAATCTATAGCTTTAGAAATAAAGAGTTGCATAGTGACTACAACCCATCACCTAAATCTACCAGTTAGTGTCACCACCCAGTGTGCAGAGAGGCTGGTCAATGTGTACATTTACCCTTTTCCTACACTGACTGTGATGTATGAACAGTGTAAACTTTCACTATGAATCACTGCAGCGCTGTCTGTAGGGCTGCGTCACATTTAAAATACAGCCTTTACAGTTGTAAGGCAGCAGTGAGTACAGGTAAGTGCTGTAACTGTATAAAAGGCCAGTGTTGCTGCACAGAGCTGTATTATAGTTTAACACACACAGTACTGACGCCAAGTCTAATCATGTTTGGAGATGTTAAATGACCTTGGTTATTCAGTATGTGCACATTGATGGTGGATTTTTGTGCACAAACATGGCCTGGACAGATTTGATTCCTCTCTGCTGTCTTATGAAAACTTTGCAATTTCAGCCATGGCGCTTTTATTGCTTTAACCTCCGCCAAAGGATTTCAGGCTCCTCTGTGGTTTGAGAACATTCTGCCACACAGTTACTTGAAACTCAGTGGGTAAGAACTCAAAAACGAAATGCGGTCAAGCTGTAAACAGCTGATACTTTGTTTCTGGACAGCAAGGATGCTCAAACATGTATGTGCCAGGGTAGAAGTTTGCATACTTGCTAGTTCTTCTGTAGTTTTTTTCCCAACTAAGTCAACTAAATGATATTACATTTTATATATCTTTAAAAAAAGATGTGGGGGCATGTTTTCTTAGCACAGTGCGCCAGTGCCTGCTGGTTCTGAGGGAAACTGAGGCTGCATTTACCTGGATGGGCGTGTACCACTTCCGGCTCTGAGGCGGCTTCTTGTTCTGAGATTTCTTAGGTTTGGGCTCGTAGGGTTCATACTCCTGCTCTGGCATTTTCACCACAGCATTCTTCGGCTTCTCCAGCTTAGCACCCTCCTCGGTGGAACCCTTTCCTCCCCAGCGCACCTGTGCACATCAGAGAGTGTGTGAATACACACTTCAAAATAGAGACCGAATGTTATCTAAACTAGTCTAATATCCATCAGCTCTTTAAACGGTCACCTCCATTCTCTTGATTCCTCCAATTCCTCTTCCTCCATAATATGAAGCATCCACAGTAGGCCACTTCTTCTTTGGCATGCCGTCTTCATCGTCAGACTCCTACAACACAATTAATAACGCAAAAACTGACTCTGTTTGTATACTTTCTAACTCGGAGGCTGCAAGTTACTTAAACAAGTTGTTAAAGACTGCTTACTGAGCCTAGACAGGTAGATAAGTCCGAGTTATCGCTACCAGTCTTTAGTATAACCTTTGATGTACTACCTTTAGTTACAAAATAAGATAAATGTATTTGTGTCTATAATACTGATTTTCTATGCTCTGATGATCTTGAGAGGTTGATAGTATTTTGGGATTTTTGAGTCTCAGCTTATTGTCAGTTTCTGTAGAAGCACAATTTAGTGAAGTAACCATGATGTTATTCTGGTATTCTCTTGTGTTTAATTGTGATCAATACTGAAACACTGTGTTAATGTGTGACTTACTGGCTCAGGAGGAGGTGGAGGAGGCGGTTCTTTGATCACCTGTGGAAGCGTAAGACACATGACATGAAACTGCTGGAAACAACAGGTTTACTTTATCAAAAAGGCCGTTGATGAATCACAGGCACAGTAGCACTCAAAGGAAAACTAGGATTTCAAATTTTAGCAGGGGCCCCTAAGGTGATTGTTGACCTTTGAAGCTCTGGAAAATTGTCATTTAAATATTACTTTTTAATGTCTTTTTTTATTGCTTCTATTTCTTACCACAGTGCAGCAGAGAGGCCAGAACCACCACATGAAGAGCAAGGCCAGCAGGAGGAACAACACCAGCAGGGTGATCAGGAGGATGGTGCCATCAAACTGGGTAGAGTGTAGACACATGACAGTCATTAGTACTACATCTATCCAGGGAAAGCTGAATGTGAAAGTACCATACCTACTTCCTAAACTCAGATTTACATAGGTGTAAAGACAAATGTTTGAGAAATAAATGGTATTATGTGACTGTTACCTGTCACAGTAGAAGGATGCTGAGGAGTGGTACTTGTAATACTAAAGCAGAATTTAACTGAGCACTAAACTGCAGTTTTTGAGGTACTTGTGCTTTACTAGAATATTTACTAGAGTATTTAAATTTTCTGCTGTGTTATACTTCTACTGTATTTCAAAGCAAATACTGTACCTTTTACGGTACTACTTCTATTTGACAGCTTTATTTTATTTATTTATTTATTACAGTTTAAGAAGAAGATTACAATGTACAGTATAATCACCAAATAAATGATCATGTAGCAATAGTAGGACTCGTACAACAGTGATAACAGCATAATCGTAGCTGTAGTAGGATTCGTACAACAGTGATAACAGCATAATCGTAGCTGTAGTAGAATAGATTTTGTCACAGCTAATATTCATGTTTTACTTTTACTCAGTGACAGTGGTTAATGTAAGCTGTGTGTGCCTTGAATGAATCCATCACTTGGTTCCCATTACAGAGCACAGATGAGGATCACATGTGGTCAGACTTTCCCCCTATACGTCACGTGGCAAAGACGTGAGGAGTTTAACTGAACTCAGGAGTGGGGTCTGTCACAGAAACCACTTCACTGGAACCAAATGACTGTTTCTCAGAAAGCTCCCACTTGGTAAGTTTGTCATTTTCTCTAACTTTTAACAGTTGACAGGTTTACAGATTTTGTGAGATAATGGTTTAGCAAAGAATGCTGTGGCCACACCCACGCTCCGCGCTTTAGACATATTTAATGTGTTTTCCCACACGTGTGTTATATTGGCATAGTTTGTGGGCAAACTACAAAGTTTGAAACCCTCGATGTGGCACTTTAACAGAATTTGTGGAGGAGTAGCAGGGTTTGTTTGGGTTTATGAAGTTTGTTTTCACCCTTTATCCAAAGACTTGTTTATTATAACAGGCCTGCCCATCTCAAGTTAGCGACTTGTTGTGCCTCCTTAAGCCTGGTGTGACTCCAGACTTTATGGTTTACTTTAGAAGCAAGGAGCAGCTAATTACAATGGTGTGTTTAATTGAGCTGTGCATATCATTAACCATAACACAGCCGTTTGAATGCACAATATTTTCATGTATATGATGTCACATGGCCTGAGGTGGAATAGCTTTAAATTGTCTTAAATTGCATTTTGTTTAACCTTGTTTTTGAGGGAATTAAGCTCCACCCTTCTTCACACTGACACAGTTACTGTATAAACATTTACACATCAGCGACCTACAAAATCTCTAAATGTCCCAATTAAGGGATAAATGCTTTGCACAAGGGCCCTGCAGTCATTACTATTACAGTATGCTTCTCTTCTATTTTCACAACCAAAACATTGAGATTGACCCGGCAGCTTTACGGTCATGAACCTGCTCCTCTAACCCCCAGTGTCCGGTCTCCCCATGGGGTTCAGAGGGTCTTTTGTTTTTTTGGGGTAGATCATGACTACAAACCCCTGTGGTTTGACTCCCAAGAAAAGGGGGACATAACAAAACTGAGATGGGGAACATCCATCCCTATGGGCAATTTAGAGACACCAATCAACCTGTGCTGCAGGTCTTTGGACTGTGGGAGGAAGCCGGAGCACCCAGAGAGAACCCACGCAAGGACGGGGAGAACATGCAAACTCTGCACAGAAAGGCCCCGGGTTGGCTGGGGCTCGAACCCAGAACCTGCTTACTGTGAGGCCACTGTGCTGCCCGAGATGGGGAACATGAAAGAGATAAAACACGTACAGGAAACTAACTGCAGAGAGCAAAACAATGCACTTTTAGGAAGAGGTGGCAGCTGGAATGGACAAAGGAAGAAGAAAGAAATGTAGAACCCACGTGTAACATAAGAAAAAAATGTAAACTCTTTAATATACAATAACAGTGAAAAAGTGGGGTGTGCTTCCCTGTTGAACTGAATAGGAACGTGTCTAAACATTTCACTGGTAGAGTTTTTCAAAACATGCTGCACTAAATCTCTATATTTGAAGTTGAAAACCCTCTGAAAAGGTCATTAGAACATATTATTAAAACATACTCAGGTATAAATAGCTCCAACCTTCTCCTTTTTACTACTTTTACTGTATTTGTTTTTCAATAGTGCTATGCTTTGCTGCATCTCTTTGGTGAAACATATGGAATAATATGGTCTATTTTAGTTGTCATAGGTCTTAAAGCCTGTTCAAAAAGCCACAAGTTTTGATTGAAGATACACTAATATTACTTACTTAACTTACTTAAGCACTCACTGAATTATACATTTTTGTACTTGGGCAGATTAAACAAGGGAATGAACAGGGACTGTACTTACACACTCTGTGGTAGTGATGTGCACGTTGCTGCTGATGAAAGACAGACCATCATTCATGCTCACTTGGAGATAAATCACCCTAAAAGAAAACAACAGGCAATGTAACACTAAGCATGTTTGGAGCTTTTCCTCCTTGTTTGATCAGAATGATGTCACTTGAACTCGGGTTCACATCAAATAACATCAGTGATCCACCTGAAAACTGTGACGCAATTTGATGCAATTTATTAGAAGTGAAAATGTAATTTGACCCAAGAGGAAACAACCACAAAACACAAGGGATTATGAGTGGAAGGAGACAGATTTTCAAGCAGAAAATAAAGTGACGTATGGACCGAGGCCATTTGTTATAAGGTTACGAAAACTGGAATGAGATTAGTTTAGCATCTGTTATAAACTTTGGCAGGACGTGTTGCCAAAACTCCAAAAATCAGCTACTTGGTGAGTCTTATGATAGTTGTTTACGAGTCCTGTTTCACTTATAACTGAGAAATTTGAACCCATTAAACCAAATTTTCAAAAATTTTCCACTGTGGTTAAAAAACAGAGAATGAAAACAAACCGTGGGTGTGTTCTGTGACCCACCGGGCCACACAGCAGGCCGAGAGCCCAGGATGTATTGGTCAGTTTGGGGGGGGCTTGTAAGTTCAAATTGTTTTTTGTTTTTTTTTAATGGTTATTGGCAACTTGTGTATTTTCCAAGACATGACACCATGCTAACATTAGAAATACTCTCAGGATCATAGCATCCTAAGATTTCTGGTACTGTAAGATTCTTTCTTGGTCTTGTGAATCTGTTTCTTCCCTTCGTCCTTCGTGCAGTAGAAAACAGTTCTGAGAATTTCATGCGACCTCTTGGCCTAGTTCACTTCTTAAAAACATGGATGAAAGGAATGCCTTTTAAACCTCCCCCTGAGACACATACACACGCTTCTTATTTGGTAGAGGACCAGGTGGATGTAGGCTGGGGAAAGAGAGGAGCTGGATGAGAGCTGGGTGAAGTTCATGGTCTATAGCGCACATACCTCACTGACAACAAACAGCTGGTTACTAAGGGACCGAAACCTTAAAGCTTAAGAAGGGGCAGGTTGTGTGCACATTTTTAATGTGTGAATTCAGTGTAGGTCTTCATCAGGGTCTGAAGAAGGCCACAAACCGAAAGACGCTGGTCTTGCAATAAGTTGTTCTATAAAAGTGTTGCTGGATTTTAGACCTTTTTAACTGAACTACGGTGCCAACGTTGGGCAACAATGGAGGTCTAAGTAAGGCTTTAGCTACACAGACAATACTTTATACAATATTGCCAACCTTATAATTGTGTCTTTTACCAAAAAGGCAGAGAAAACTGAGCAGTGTGAAATGAATGATGAAGGTGCAAAGGAAAAACAAGGTACAGTAGCAGGGGGAAAATGTTGGTTGACAACTTAAGTTGTCAGACAACTTAAGCAAGGAAATGAACCTGAGAGCAGACAGTTCAAGTAGGTACACATACAAAACATGGACAACTGAAAGAGACAGAGCAGATGCATTCATCTGCCACTCATTGGGTGGTGTGGGTCACCCTGCTTTAAACTTACATTACAGCCCATGTGGTGTGACATAGCCTGCATTCTTATTTACTTGTCTTCTTCTTTTGTCTAACTGGCCAAACATAGATGACATGATGTCCAGGTATTTCCAGCTGGATATCTTTAGGCACGCAAATACATGAATAGCGAATCCCAGACTATGGCATCAGTCTTTGAAATAAGAGCATGGGCTTCTTCCTACCCCTGTAATTTTGCACAAGAAACTTCCAACAGAATAAATATCTTGCAGAAGAGACAGAGAAACTAATTTCTACATCATATAAGAAAATAGATCAGAATGTAATGCATCCATCATAAAGATTTGAGTGAAGCGATTACAAAACCATCAAATTTTCTACCAAAGTTAAATCGGTTTCTGGTAATGAAAAGCTGCAAGTAAGCCAAAAATCATCTTCGTTAATCTGGGTTTCAGTGGAGCACTTTAAACACTCTTCCACTCTTTTCCACCCTGCTAAGAATCAGGCTGCATCAAAAACACATGGCCACAGATGTGAAAGACCAGACTAGCTGCTACATGGCTTTGATCAAGCAAAACTGGACAAGGAGACATTTGAAAGGGAGTGGAAGACAGATGCTGTGACAGATATAAAAACAGATAGAGAGAAATGAACACATGCTGCAACTAGGAGGGTGGGGGCAGTTGGAAAGCAACCAGCAAGTCTGTGAAGAAAAAAAATGTGAAGAGGAAGATGAGGGGTTGAGGTGAAAAGGAACGGAAACTTTAAGAGAACTAAGGTAGCTACAGAAAAGTATATCCAAATGTGATCAGGCCAGGTTGTTAAAATAATATATATGATTTATAACTTCTATGGGAGATCAAAATGAAAGAATCTGTATCATAACGAGGAGTATGTTGTCATCAATACAACTACTGTAAAAGGTGGAGAAAGCATGCAAAGGAAGAGTCAGTCCATTTAACCACGGTCCAATAAACCTTATGTTTTGTGGCCTGCGTGTACTTTTCTCCCCATAGAGACTTAAACTAAAGAGGTTTGTGGATTGTTGATGTTGGAATGTGGTCAGCCTCTGAAAGGAGAATATAGCTAGCTGACGAACAGCAATTCTACTGCTAAACTGTGTGACTATCATGTGGTGAACATTCCAGAAAACAAACCTTAGTGGGCTTAGTTTTCACAGCCTGTCGCCATCCTTCTTTCAGTGAGCCAGAAAACATTGAAGTGATACAAATTAAACTGTATTTTTAATATGCCAATATACCTGATCCTGAACTAACTTGACAGCTCTCAGAGAGTGCAGACCTTCGTCAAGGCAGCTCTGTTTTCCCATAATGCCATTACACTTAAAAGTAATAGTTGCATGATGGTTTGACCCTCATAATATGATTTCTTGACCAAACTTAGGCATTTGGAATCACACTGATATATCATGATTAGTTTGAAAGTTACTCAAGAAAAACGATAAACAATGGCAATGACTCAGTGGGGCGGCATGGTGTCACAGTGGTTCTTTCTTTTGCCTCACAACAAGAAGGTTCCGGACTGACCCGGTACCTTTCTGTGTGGAGTTTGCTTGTTCTCCCTGTGCCTATGTGGGTTCTCTCCGGATACTCCGGCTTCCTCCCACAGTCCAAAGACATGCAGCTTAGGTTGATTGGTGACTCTAAATTATGCCTAGGAGTGAGTGAGGGTGTGTGTGGTTGTCTATCTCTAAGTGTCATAACAAAGGGTACATCTCATGTCTCTTATAAGATCGTTCCTATGTCGTTAGATGTACAACATTCCAAGTGTCTTATATTGGCTCTGAGGCCTGAGGAGCTGGAGCTGAAGGAAGTTTTTTGTGACGTGACATCCCCCTGTCAGAAATCAGCTATTCGCTGTAGCTGGATGACTGATGTGAGCAGTGAAACAAATATAAAACAGTACATAATTTAGCGTCTTTAAGTACACTGGTTTGGTTTAAACCAAAACAATGCTCCACAGAGCTGAGGAGAACTGCAGCGCTGGGTGACAATTCTCTGTGGGTTTGTCATTAGCAGTGGCCTCTTTCACATTAGTCATCTGATCTGTTGTGGATATAAGAATGTTGATTAGTGCAGCTTTAGGAACAACTGTAATATACACTTTTCTGGCCCACTTTTCTGACTCTGGAGTCAATGGGAAAAATATCCACTAATTTTTTGTCATCACTAATAAAGCCTAGTGATTTAGCAGCTCTTCAGCTGAGTCACAGTAGATTTGTAAGTTTTAGTCTTGCCTTTCTAGTTTATCTGTAGGTTAAGAAAAAGTTGCCTGCAATTGTTTTCACTGCTCTGTTCTAATTTAGGAGAGAAGCAAATATATCAGGGGGTTACCACTGCATGTGCTGGCATGGCTATAAGGACCTGTATATTTGACTGTGCTGCACTGGGAGCTAGAAAAGAGAAACAATGGCCATCACAGGGATCATAGAAAGCTGATGTATGGAGTTAATATATGGGAAGCTTCTTAAGGTATGTGCACATACTGTACACAGATGTACTGTACTCATACATGTGTTTCTCTGTGTGTTTGAGGCAAAGAATGTGAGGTAAGATGCCCGTGGATGCCACTTAGTGTGAAATATACAGTGCATTCCCTTGACTGGGAGTTGAAAGATGATTTGAGTACAGATGAAATCATAAAATCATGAAAAAGACGCACTTACTTCCCAACTTCATCAATGACAGGAGCTGGACACAATAAGAATGTGTTTTGTACTTCAGCTGGTTTTTCATCTAGGAGGCAAAGACAACATTTTTATAATGTATATCAAAAATGTACAGTATATATAGCTGCATATTATTATAGACACTGTAAGGCTTTAAAGGGTTAGCAAATGCTGAAAGCTGCCAAGTGACAAGATTTTTTCTTGTGAGGATCTTTTTTCACTGTGTTGATGAAACTGTCATGTTTCTGAAGATTATTGTGTAATGACAGCACTTTTGAAGAGAAAATACACAGGTTTATGTGCAAATGAAAAAAACAAGACCCTGAGAGAAGCCCTGTTACAGACCAGATGGGTTTACATTGAAAGAAAAGAACAACCAAAAGTATACTGTAGGTCTACTTACTGACTGTAACGGTATCATTGATTTTGAAGCTGCAGAGCACCTGGTTGATGTTTCTGGCATGGAAAAATCCGTTTCCTCTCACCACTACTTGGAAAGACTCTGGTAACACAACCCACATGGACATGATTACATTCAGTATTGTACAGTCCAGTTAGTTACATTCCACACCCAGCATGTTTTTAAGGGCTGTCTTTAAAGTGGAATCTAAAACGGTTTCTTACAGGTCAGGATATTTGTTCAAAGAAAATGATACTGAATACAGTTCCAAGAGGTAGAAAGAGAAAGCTAATCAAATAAAACTAAATCTGGATTTTATTTATGTATGATGTTTTCAGAATGTTTACTTACTTTAAATATCTACCAAGGTTTTCCCTACCATAGAAATGATTAGGAGCAGGGCTTACGCTAAATGAATGTAAAAAGGCGACATAACACAATGAATATATAAGCAGTGGTGAGTTATATGCACTGAAAAATAACAGAGAGGTGACTTGATCTCAAAGCGAAATGATCTGTAAGCTGGCAACAGCAGCGACCTGTCAGTCATCTTGGACCAATGTCTGTGTGAGTGGCAGCAGCTGACTGGGTATTTCTCTGTACCTTCAACTCAGGATGGTAGTTACAGCCATCGATAAGCTTAGGCTCCACGTTTTTTCCCCCAATTAATTTTTTTGTCCTCTCTTGTCATTGTTACATAAAACAGAAAAATCCTAATACTGAAACCTAAAACCTAATACTATAATAATAATAATAAAAACAGACCTGAAAACACATTTAGCACTTAACATGCTGAGGGAGGTATAGTGAAAGGGAAACACATAGAGTAGTTTTAGGCCAAAATTTCTTGTCTGGTAGGGTGACAGGTTGTCAGACGTTGTTCACCAAACAAGCAAACTAATTAGGTATACTGTATGACTTTAATTTATGAACCCAGATTTGATTGTATTGTACCTGCAGGGCAAAACTGACCAGGAGAGTGCTCGCTGTAAAGGCACGCCAGTGTATACTATTTACTTTAAAGGGAAATAATTTTCTGTTTGAAGGGTGAAAGCAATTCACTGCTTAATAAAAAGCAAAAGTACTGTAGATTTGAGAAACAGTATAAGTCATACTGCTTTTGCCAAAAACATTTGATCAACCCCTACTTTATTTGTCGCTCATAATGTTGCTCATAATTTCTTGGCAGGACACTAAAGGATGTCTTCAGTTTCAGCTGCAGCCAATATTAACACTGCTACTCTCACACAGTCAGTCTTTTTAATAACACCCTATAATATTATTTTCACTGATCCCAATACATTTCCTGTATGTGACCTGGATGCCCATGTATGGTTGTTTTTCAGTCTGGGATTGTCACTTCATCACTGACGTGAGAGAAAGGGAGCTGAGATGCCCAGTAATGAAATTAACATGCTTTCAGAAAAGATGGGAGGCTGACATCAGTGTCAATAATTCAGTGTGTGTGTGTGTCAGTGTTTGTGTTTCCAGCTCCCCACCTCCTGCGCACACACTGGAGGGCTCAGCTGCCAAAATTTCAATGCAGGATTTCTTGATGATCTGGAGAAGAAATGAGGAACAAAGACAGTGGTCATTTTAGGAGGTTTTTTCCTTTTTTTGTTTCTTCAATCCAAAACCACAAGAAAATGAAACTGAATGGGTGATAAATGAATGTGCACTGTGTTTATCTGCTGTAATATAACATGTAATTAGCATTTCCAAGTTACTAGCCCTACCACCTACTATAAATGGTAAACTTTTCTTCCCAGGTCAAGGAGCATGTCACTAGCTGACAACAGTACATTAGTTTGCAGGGCTTCAGGTTATGTATAAACATAACTAGCATAACTTAGTATATCCCTTTTGTGCAGAAGTTGGTTCTGGACGCTAACATTTAGCAGCTCTTTCCTGCTCTTTATTTGATTTGGGGACATTTACAGTACAGTAGGCTTACCCTGTCTGTACTGTTTTTTGAATGTGTGAGAGTGTTTTATAAAGCCAGTGTACACAAAGAGTTACAGTTCTGCCTGCTGTATGGTTAAAAAGAGGGAGCAGAGTACAAAGAGCTGAGTTGTAAACTTGCAGGAGGCTATACTTTTAGATCAGCATTGCTTTTAAGCATTGACATTGTGAGTATAGTGTAGTGGCTGGACTAACACTGATGGATATAACTTAAATATCTGCACACACAGGTGTTTATTTACCGAATCAATGACTCCCCGGAGGGCATGGAAGCCCCCCAACACAGGAAACACATGCTCAATGGTGTCTGCAATGGTGGCCAGCTATTGAGACAGTATTGTGGATGGAGGAAAGAAAGGGAGAAGTAAGTAATGGTATTAAAGAAGAATTCATTTGCAAAAACATTACAACAGTCCCTTAGCTCTCCAGTATCCATCACATTAAATACAGGGTCCTGAATCAGCATGTTGAAGCCAAAGATTCAGGATTACTCAAGTTACAGATGTTTCTCTGGTCCACTCCATTGTGTTAGCATGCACAGTAGCTGAAGGAGCTCAGAGTTAAATATCACCAGGGTTGGTTTTCAGGAACTTTTAAATTATGGGTTAGCCAAAATTTAGAGTGGCCACTGAATACAAACACAGTAACAGCGTTTTGGATGTTTCCACAACTCTGGATTCCTGAACATACAAGGTAAACTCTTTGTATTACCTGTGTCTCATTGAAGTCTTTGACACCAACACAGTACACAATAGCTCCAAGAGACCTGGCTCTCTCTGCCTGTTGCATAGATAAATGAAATAAATCAATGAAGACATTTGTGCCTTAAAAGCGGCCCTGTCACTTTTGCTATAACTGTAGCATTTTGGGAAATCAGTCTGTGTGTAGTTGCTACCTCTTCCTGTGCAGTGATGAGCTGATGTTCCTGCAACTCTCCATCTGTCAGTGCAATGATCACACTGGCAGTACCTGGAAAAAAGAGCCAAGCTATAACTTCAACATTGTCCAGCTTGAAGCACATTTTCATACAGTCTGAGTGATTTATTTACTGCTTACCAAAGTTCTCCCGTTGTATCTGCTCATTTGCCTTCAAATAGGAAAACGTTTTCATGATCAGAAGAACAGGAAAGACTAAGGCTTCACATTTACACAAGTAAATAAGTAAATGCTGATTGGAGTTTAGCTACAAAAGGGTTGATTCTAAATGAAAATATCATAAAACAACAACAACAAAAGCTCACCTCCTGCAGTCCAAGGTGCATGAATGTGTCTCCACCAGGTTTCTCTTTTTTCAGAGCGTTCAGCCCCTTTCTAATGTTCACTCTGAAGACAGGAAACAGAGCAGGGTGAGCCTTGTGGAAGATGACCTCAACTGTAGTTTTGTCCTAATTATCATGTCTGCCAATATGAAAACTAATCTGTCTCCCTGAAATTGTTGTAATGTATCTGTATTGTATTGGTTTCTGTCACTGCTAACCCTTCTGTGAAGACTATTATTTCTCTAAACTCTCATTATATGCTAGTTTATACTTCTACTCCACTACATCCATCCATTCATTATCTATACCGCTTATCCTGAAGAGGATCGCAGGGGACTGGAGCCAGTCCCAGATGTCACTGGGGTAGAGGCGGGGTACTCCACTACATTTCAAAGGGAAATACTGTGCTTTTTAAAGCTCTACATTTATCTGATAGATATAATTATATATATAAAGTAAACTAAATCCACCACCACTAGTTGGTAGTTAGGTACTAGGAGTATGCTAATGGAGTATGTTTACATGTAGGGGATTTTCCACCATAGGAACCCACCAAAACATGTTGAGCCAGGTAATGCTCATCACGGGGTCTGCATTTGTGTCCACTGCCATCTGCCCACTGTAGAGGTGTGTTCCAGTACAAAAATCAAGTTCTAGGAACTTGATGGGAGTGGTGGCACTCACAGAACTGTTGCCCATGATTGATTAAATGTCAGCATCTTCACATCTCAATGAGCTATTAGCATACAAGCAATGTGTATAAACATGCACACGCTGGTTTAGAGGTAAACTGGCTGTAGACTTGGTGTTTAGAGGTAAAACTGGGATCACATTTCTGCAAGTTTGTGTTCTGCTTGTTCAACAGCTGTTTGATAAACTGCTCATATAGTTTCCATTACTGGCTGATTTTGTTGCACTCAGGAGCATTTGTGATCCTTGACTCATGTCCTCTGCTCAGCTGTGTGATGTGAGTGTGAGTGAGGAGCGTAGCCCCGCCATCATCTAAACAGAGACCGACACAGAAAAACAGTGGAAACGCCAAGCAGAACAGACCGCATCAGCCCATGAGGTTATGCCAGGTGATGGTTATGTTAAGCACGGGGTGTACCCTTCATTAGGTTTCGACTGTGGAAACGCAGCTATTGTTGTATTCATACTTTTACTTAAGTAAAGGATCTGAAATCTTCCAACACTGACTACTCGAGCTGGAGAAGATCTGTTGCAAATGAAAGCTAAGTTCATGCAATAGTGGTTAATAGTGACTTTCACCTCTCACACACACAACACTCATTCACAGTAACACTGAGATTTATTCAACAACGGGCACATGATGATTCATGTCAGTTTAAAGAGCATCTGCTTTCACTCTGGTGCAATGGTTTGGTAGTTTACTTTACGACTGATTTTCCTCTGTGTAAGAGCACTCCATGCTAGAATAACCTTTACTTAGAACACAAACTCAGCTTAGGGCAGTCACTTGCAGTTGATTCCTGACACTAAATGGCTATAATAATAAAGTTATCAACAGACTGACTGTATCACCCATAACTTTACCTGTTTTCTGTCAGTTTCATAATGGTGGACGCTCTGGAGGAGAATGTTATGAAGGACATCCTTAGCATGGGACTGTAACAGAAAACGAGAAAAAAAACAATGTGCAGTATCATCACACCCATAAGTTAACACCTCACAGTTGTTTTAGAGTGTAAACAGTTAAAAAATCTCCAGATGTTAACCAGTTTCCGATAATTCTGACAATTCTACACTATCTGAGATTAATTAGAAAAACTGTAATACTTTGAAAGTGACATGTTTTCCTCAGAAACATAAAATAACTGCCAGTGTTTGTATGGACAATGTCAGTGAGGACAAGCTACCTCACTTCCAATGAGCTCACTCCAACAATCTATGTATGAAGTGCTGTGTTGTTTTAAATGCAGCCCAACACACCAAGCCAAAGCCACACCATGCATGGATTTGTGTCGGCATATGAACCCTTTGTGTGTGACAGTGTGTTAGATGTTAATGTAAAAAACATGTCACAAAATCTTCAGATGTGGAAGTTTGTATTTATTGGACACATGCCTAACTATCTGAAGTGAAAATTGTGAGAGACAATAAGTCGAGATTTGCGCTGTTTAAAATTTTCTCGTGTTTGTTTCAAACTGAAACTTTGAGGAGGGTTGGTTCTTTGATTTGGCTGAGCTTCAAAGCTCCAGGTATTGTTGTGGCTTTCAAACAGCGTGCACACAAAACAAAGCCACTCACAAACTGAAGGACAGATGCAGCCATTCTTTGAAATACTGCATACACATTGCCTAGTGCTTCCTCCCCTCAGTCTAAAGAGGCTTTAAAGCCAAGACTGGCCATATACATAGAGCCTGTCCAGCCTATAGTCGACCAGACACCATCCTTTCTCTTGCAGAGACTGAAACATCAGCCTGGACACCGAGTGGCTTAGCATATGGCCAGCTGTAGCTGTAGAAACATGTTTTATTTTACTTTACTGAGGTGACTGCTGGGTGATATGTGGCCATCTCCTCAGTAACTGACAGTATATCTCAGGGATCCAGGAAGGCCAGGAAAGAGACAACAAAGCTGTTCGCTGCATCTAGAGAATTGCAATCCAGTTACAAAACCTTACCAAACCTTTAAAATGCTACAGTATATATAGTTCCTCTTTTCGCCTAAATTTTAAATAGGTTGTGTTAACATGTATGTTTTTATTACCTTTTGAATTTTTCAGCTAAATTCTCCACAAAATAGTAGATTTCCTCCCAGTGATTCTTCACACTGCCAGACCTAGGAGAGAGATAAAGGGAAAACCACTTAATTAAAACGGCATCTATGTCTAAAAAAATCATTCATTAAATTAACATCTCTACAACAGTCAAAAAACGCAATTTCATGAGTTTCATGCAACAGTCATAACTGCACATATGGTAAGTTGGCATAACTATAAATAGTAAAAAAAAACTAGTAGTTGTAAAATATCATTTTTCTACATAAGTTAAATGATTTGTTCAGCAAGAGCAAACAACAAAACAACTAAAAATTAAGCCAGTTTTCAGACACAAACAGACCTCCATATAGTAGTGCAGTCAAAATACTAAGATGCAGCTGTGCTGGCCAAAAACAACAGGAGGTAAAGTCATTAGGTCCACGACATAAAGAACAATCTGTATGTACTTGGCAAAACAGTTATGTTTTGCCAATTTGTTTTTGTTTATTTAACAAAAAGAACTTTGCTTTTATTTCACAGTTGCTATCAAAAGCCAGCGTGCTATTTAACTGCCTAGCTACTAACAGATGGATATTTCCTGTATCTGTTGCTGAACCTCTGAGGGAAGACTATTAAACTTACATTTTATAAAGAAAATAGAACTTTTTGTTTATGTATCACAAACACCATTAGTGGAATAACTTAAAACAAATAGACTTCACCACATATCAGGGGCTAGTAAGTGTTCTGGTGAGATTAAAGGAACTGGTGGTGTAATTTAGCACCCCCTGTGTCCTGAATGAACCCCTGAAGGCAGACGAAATAGGTCCCGGTCTCCCCAGGGGTACCTCCATAAAAGCGGGACTGCCTTTGGAGCTACTAGACGGCATCTGGCATGATCTGGCCAGTCAGCAGGTCATCTGTTAGCTAGTGAGCGAGTCATAGGGATGATACATTGGAAATGAGTTGTGGTAAAACTGGAGGTGTGTTTAAAGGATAAAGCTTCAAGCTGACTAAATGTTATTCTAGGTGCTGACTGACATTAGACACACTGGTACTGGTTGCTGTTACTCCATATGACACAGGTCAACATCAGTTTTTTATCCATAGGGATTACATGGATTTATTAAACAGCCTATACACATTGTCCACTGAGAAGTCTTTATTAATACCCAAACTTCGGAATGTGACATTTTAGGTCTGTACCTTTATTATTGACTGGAGAAAATTAGTTTAACGAGTGACACTGACAATAAAATTCTTAAACATTAAAACACAATTCAGAAAAAAGTGTAACTCATAGGAGACAACCACATTCAGCAACAGGCCATTCATTACATTGTTGTTTCTTACAGTGTGTTTTGGAGAAATTGGGAACCAGATTAAACAGGGAATCTGTCACTGTATGCTAGTTTAACTTTAGGTTGCATGAATCCCCATCTACATGTGAGCTTTTCATGTGTTTGGCAAAAAAACTATTACTATTACTATTAGAAATGCTTATTTTGTGTCCAACTTATTGTGATTATTTGGGTCTTTAAACATACAGGAACCAAATGAAGTTCACTGCTTTAGAAAACAACAAGAGCTGCATGCCTGAAAACTGGAATGAAAATGAAATGTGACTGATGTTATTGTCAAATGAGTGTCATGGAGGTTATACCCTACGGTGTTTGTGTGTTATTGCTCAGCAGTAGAGGGCTGGCTAGCTGGGAAGACCCAGTCAGGCTAGACCAGCGATTTTCCCATCATACCTCAGTTATTCAGGGCTTTTTATCCTGCAAACTGAACTCTGGATCTTTATTAAATGCTTTGTTTGGCAGACTGAATGTAAGTGGACTGTAGTTTGTATCCTTGTAACCCTTATATGCTCCTTTAAAAACATAATTTGATAGGTTTTCACTGCACCATAGGTTATATAATATCTTCAAGAGGTTACTATAGTTGTTCATTAGCCATCACTGTTGCAGATGCTGACATTTCTGGCTTTCAAAACACAACAAAGACATTTGCAGATACATTACAAGCATTTCTAGAAGTAGCAGAACAATAGTCATCATGGCTGACAGGAGAGCCAGCGCACACTCAGATTTCATCATCAGAAATTCCAAGGAAAACAAACTGATTGATTGCTCAGAAGAAGCTGTTCCAAAGGAAGCAAGAACCTTAGTAGATTTTTGCACCACATATACAGTATATGTCTATATATATGTTATCTCAGTTTCAGTGTTTTCCCTCCTCTATTTTGAACAAATGTTGGTTAACTAAATTGCCTACCTAGGTGTTTTCTCTGTGGTGTTGATCTGATGACTGGCTCCCCCACATCAAAGCTTTAAATACCTATAACACTGACTGTGCAAAAATAGGACAAAACCTTACAAGCTAAACAAAAAATCCTCCTCAAATAAAAAAAAAAAATCTTGAGGTACAGTAAAGGAGGGGAGGTGTTTAGCTTGGATGTCACACAAGGATTGCACAGGCACACACAGAGAGAAGGCCTGTAACCTGAAGGAATGGTGGGAGCCACTTTCTTCTGCAGATTGTTCCATTACAGCAACAGAGGAGGGGGAAAAGAATAGAAAGTCTGCCGAAGCTTTCCTGTAGTTAATAGAGATGCGGGGATCATTTTAGAGTATTTATTTAACATCAAGGTGAATCTGAGGACTCCCACATTTGGGTTTCAGCTGCTTATCTGGATTTCTGAACCACATTGGCCCTTGTTTGATTTGGAACGGTTTGATTGTCTGAGGTGGCTGCAGCCGTGGGACCAAGACCTAGCTTGCATTTTCATTCAGCTGTCCAAACAGCATTAGGGGAGGAAGTGGGCTTTTTTATTCTATGATTCTTTTTATAATCCCTTGATGTAATTTAATGAGTCATGAAGTTCAGCGGTTTGGAGATTGGATGCAGAAAATAAGAGTTTCAAGAGGTGAGAGGGGCATTAATATTGATACAAAAAGTGACAGAGCCCAACTGCAGCTGGAAGTGATGTCATAGCAAACTGTCAAATCCAAGCGACAGTGTTTTCCCTGTTGGATAGATTCTGAGAGCAAGACAGAAATCACACATGGCAGAAAGCCACGTGTGGGCTGAGAGAAAGATAAACGAAAGAAAAGTAGGGGAAGATAAGAGCAAAGGGAAGATGAAGAGCCTTATCGGTCAGATTACAGTACAGTAAATTCAGCTGAGCAGGAGTGAGATAATGTGAAAAATCTGTTGGCTCTACTGTAAGCGGACCACTGCCAGAGAAAACATGGCAATGGTTTGGTAAAAATTTCAAAATAAAGGTCAACTTCCTCTCTGACCTACTCCAGTCTGCTTCAGTTGACATGCCAAACAGCCAGATACACCAAGACCACCAGACAGCCAAAACAAAGAATAAGCTATTAAGTAAATCACTGTGGCAGAGAACATATTTTTTATTTGCACTGAACAGGGTTACTGTTCATGTGCCAGCGGGTCTAGTTTTCATCTGTTTTCCCGATTTTGAAATAGCCAATAAAACAACATTGTAGGCCATTTAAAATCAGGCAGACAAAACAAAAACACGAGCAAGCAAAAGATTAATATGAAGAAAAGAAATTCTGTAGAAAGCAGGAGCAGACAGTAACATGATAATAATGGTGGAGGTTATTAAAGTTGATTAAAGGTAAAGTCATTACAATCGGTGGGTTCCCATCTACAAGTTTTAATACAGTATGTCATTTCAATTTGCACATAAAAAACCGTGTGGAAATGCAGGGAATTCAAAAAAATTTGGCAATATCAAAAATGTTTTTACGCTTACAGTTTAGGTAGAAATGTGATGGAGTTCATTGAAACAGACTTAGCAAATTATTCATGATGTACATGAAGCACTGAACAGATGGAAAGTAGGGATAGAGAAAACATATCTGTGTGGAACCTCCAGTTTTAACACAGCAGTGTAGCATTCCTCAAATTAATACTCAAAACAAACAAAAATGCCATATTTTGATGTCACGGAAACGTGTTGAGCTGAGTAACACTTGTCATGGGTTCTGCTTTTTGTTTCCACTACGGTGCACCTGCTTTGGAAGCCCCTCAGGAGGTAGTACTAAAATCAGGTTCTAGGAACGTGAGGGGGGGAGGGTGTGTGTGCACGCAGAGCAGTCACCCTTGATTGGTTAAAAGTCCGTGTCTTCACAAACACACTCACTAGTTTAGAGATAAACCAGGGACTTCAGTGAGCCACAGGCAAAGCAGTGAAGACATCACATTTCTCTAAGTCTGCTTGTTCAACAGCTGTTTGATTTACTGCTCATATGGTCCCAGCTACTGCCTGTTTCACATGCCTGTTCTATCTCTGCTCAGCTGAGTGAGTGTGTGTGCCAGGTGCGCAGCCCCTCCCTCCTCTAAACAGACACCGGCACAGAGAAAACACAGAGGAAAAACAAAATAGGATGGTCCGCTTCAACCCAGGAGGTTATCCTGGGTGATGGTTAAGTGAAACACGGGGTGTACCACTTGTTAGATTGAGACAGCTTATGTCTCTAGTAGCTGCCAAATACAATTCTAAAGTAAACCAAAAGGAGATGTGTGACATCATAGATGCTGTATCTCTGTTTTTGCAGAACTTGTGCTTATGGCCACATACTTGAAGTAGTTTTTTGTTGGTCCTGACATGATTATAGGTAAATGAAGGAATAATCACCATTATAGCCTAAACCGTGATATCCACATGGATCTCAGAGGGTTCTGGACTGTCTCCAACAACACTTCTAAATGAATTCAGATTTTAGCTGTCCCAAATTATAGAGTAGTTGTGATATACACTCATTTCCTCTGCTGCTACGGCAGGACATTTAGCATCACGTGCCGCTTCCAAATAGCTGTGCGCACAAGGGGAGGTAATATGCATCATTACTGTTAAGTGATACTAAACAGACCATGTCATGAGGAGACAGGAATTTGTTAGATGAAAAAAAAGTGTCTTCCCCATTTCATAAGACCTTAAGAATCAAAACACGCCTTTTAATGCTGACTAAGTGGGATTGGGAGTGTGTGTGTGTGTGTGTGTTGAGGAAACCACAAGTTCATCTGGAGGATGGGAAGGGGGTGGACAGACAGAAAAGAAGACAGAAAAACAGTGAGGCAGAGACAGAGCAAGAAAAAAAGGGCAGAGAAATAGCAACAACAACACATGGAGCAAACCAAGTGGACACACAAAAGGGTGATATGGGGATAATAAATCACTGTTCTGTTTACAGCTTTACCCTCCAGCTCAATAATATATGTGTCAACTCAGGAAAGGAAGTGATCTGAAAATGTGCCTTCCAAGAATTGTTATTGCAATTCTTTAATCTAGCAAAGGATATTACAGCTGAGGCAGACTCTTTCTAAGCCGTTCACATTATTCTAGAATTGTTTTTTTTCTTTAATTTCCCAACCAAGCCCACTCTTATCTACCCAGGAGACACTTGTCTCCCAGAGGGCAACAAGATAACATGTGGGAACAAGCTCTGTCTGTGTGAAGGCTTAGTGGATCTGAGCTTCGTTCTCATGGTTCAAAGTGTTGAAGAAGGAAAAAATGTGTTAAAAATCCCAACTCGGCTAAGGAGGCTGTGTGCCAGCTGGACCTGCCCACACCACCCCAGCCTGCAGCCTGCAGCCAGTAATGTTGCTCCACATTAACTGACTGGGTATAAGGGTCTGTTTATTTAAAGCCACTAACTACTTTTACAGCCATTGCAGAAGTCACAGTCTTTACTGTGTGATTGCTGAGATCATGCTCAGTTCCCAATCCCAGAGGAATTGTTTGGAAAACTAACTAAAAGACGGTGGAGAAGTGTGTCAGAAGAGACCATTGTTTCCTTTTCCAATCTTTGTCTGACCATCCAGTAATGTTCTTTGCAATGCATTTTTTTCTGTTAACCAGGGCAAGGTCATGCCCTGAATGGCACTAAGTGGCATTCACTCACTTTAAAACCCTCGGTGCCTTAAG